GGAAAGAAGATCCACACTGATGGGGCGAGAGAAAGAGCCTCTCTCCCATCTACTTGCTCCCTTCCATTTTCCACTTCAGGGGTCACTGTGCTACACAAATCTTTTATGGCAGCAGCTTATTAAATATAATATAGCGGCTATCTACCCTGAATCCTTCTTAGCCGACCTCTTCCCAGGAAATAAAATCAGATCCAGTCAAAACTGTCCACAAAGCAGCTAGAGAGGGGCTCTCTCGCTCTCATCCTGTTCCACTCGCTGATGATGAATTTGGCTGTGTTACAGAAGAGGGAGTGCACACGAAGTGCTGCTAGCAGCAGTATTATAACCTAACACAGCTCCAGACTGTAGCCTGTTACATTTACATTTAGCATGCATAAAGACATTGAACGGGTCGCGTTCTTACGGTGGCCGCATGAAAACTATTTATTCTTTTCCTGTAACAGGGTTAAATATGGGAGGCAAATTCTTCCCGTTCTAATTTTACTACCTAATTGTCATGTGGAAAGACCATTGTGACCCTGAGCAGAGGCAGCTAATTACAGCTTCACGTCAGTTCGGCAGCCCCCAACAATCCTACCACCCACCCCTCTGGGAGCAGCGAGCAGTGAGATTGGCATAGCAGAGCTAATTCACGCTGGAGTGACGTCAAGGCAGTCGCATAATAGCTGCTAAAAATAGAGCGTGTAATAATATATGGGTGGGTGACAAGGGTCCCGCTTCCACCGGGGGTCTCGCTCAGACAGTGTAGAACGGATTGAGCTCAGCCATGTGGAAAGAGAAGGAGCTGCATTTTCGTCAAAGGCAGCAGTAAATCCTGCCCGCTCTGCACGCTGATGTATACAAATGTGCTGCCATTTCTTCAAGCTAGAATAAAGGAGGACTAAAATATCTGTGTGACACAGTCCCCAGATCGTAGCAATTCTTTCCTTTCGCTCACTTTTCCAGTAAAAGCTGAGCCAGTCGGTGGTTGACAGGGGTTGGGGAGGGAAAGAAAAGAAATCAGACTTTGCTGCCAAAATCTTGACAGGAAATCCTGAGGTCCTGAAATGTTCCTACCTCTACTAGCCACATTCTCCACCAAAGGGAAAGGGTGGAGAAAGGGATGGCAAGGGTGTATGGGGTTTTTTTTGTTTTTTTTAACAAAGACGGCATTGCCACTGTCTAAGCCTAGTGCAAACAAGGCAGGTGGCAGCTTTACCGCTATGTAATGGGTACGGGAAGTGAACCGTAGGCTCTTTCCTGACATCTGCCTAACCCAACTGGATGGAGGCAAGACCACCACCTGTGGTCTTACCTCCATGGTCTTTCACCCCATGATATCAGTGGGTCAGAATGTCATGTCACCCTCTCTTTCCTCCCCCTGCAAACTTTCAGGATTAAAGGAGTGAAGAAAAACTGAGCAAAGATGACAGGCTTCAACCCTTTCTTTTCCAAACAAACAGGCCTAGAAAATGGTGAGCAGAAAGAATGCTTGAACAAAACGTGACCATGCAGAGGACATTCATGGTTCTAAACTGAGCCTTTCAGAGACCCTCACAGCTGCTCCTAGAACATTTTTTTCCTCGTTAAACTTTACCATGTGGTATTTAAAAGGAAATATAAATGTGATCCATGGTGGCAGCCAATCTCCTCGGGGTTGGATACTTCAACACCAAACACCCACAGTGCACCAACAGCAATGAAATGCAGCAGTCGTCATTCGCCTCCCTTTTCACCTATATAATCGACCTTCCTTATCTTCCCAAATGGCCAATTACGGGCCTTGGCTGTGCAAGCAACATTTCAGCAGCCTGGAAGCCAGCTGCGTCCTCTGAAATAAAGGACAACTAGTAACATTTACCAACGACCATGGAAGAGCATGCCTGTCACCTAAACTCTATTCTAGGAAAACCCAGAGCAGGACGCATGCAAATTAATAGCTACTCCTACCAAGTGCCTCCTATAGGTCCGGCACTTCACAACAGACAGAAGCAAGCCCAGAAAAGGGTGATCACCCGAGGAATGCAGCTTTATAAAATCTTCTGTGACGTTCTACTAACAGGGACTAATTCCCCTTGGTGTCCACTTTCTTTCAACACTGATCACCTCTAACAGCTGTCCCTGCTTTTCCTCTCTCCCCTCTGATCTTTTTTTTAATTTTTTTAATTTCTTTAATTTTGAAGTTGGCATGAACTCCACCATCTGTAATTTCAGGAGTCCCAGCTCTAGCATGTGCCTCAACAGAGCATGCTGAGCCCTAAGCAGAGGTCCCCTGAAGGACTGAACCCTTCACACCAGCAGCACAGGCCTCTATTATAGGGGCTGATGGAGGGTACCTCTATGCTGAGTTCAGCACAGCCCTTCAAGTCACTATTGAAAACTAAGCCATGCTCATTCACTCTGTACGCTCCAAATCCAGCAATAGGGATAAAGGAGTGCTAAAGGGAGGCCCCTGCTGCTGCTTTTGAGACATCTGTCTCTCGGAGAAGCAGTGGAGGGCACCCAAGAGTGTACTTTACCGCCTTATTTCCAGGCATGCTGCATAAGGAGAGGCACAGAGTGAATGGGTTTAGTTTTTGGCAGCACCTTTGAAAGTAGTGTGGAGGCAGTGTACACATACCTGGAGCAACTCTACTGATGGCATTAAATAGGCTCTTCATCTCTGTGGGCATCCGGTACTGATGGGAGCCATGATCATACTTGCCCTATGTGTTACATCAGCCAAGTTCATGCTCGGACCAAGGATGGGGTCACTAGTTATGAATCCCATTACAAACCTCTCACCTCCTTTTTTTGAAGACCGTGAGGACTTGGAAGACGTGGACCACTGCTTAGTTAGCCCTCTCCCTGAACCAGCTTCACTGTTATCCGTGGCATGCTCTGCATCAGCAGAGGAAAGGGCCTTGGCTTCAGCATCCTTCTCGCCTGGAGAGTCCTTGTTGCTGTGCTGCTCCGTCTCATTTTCGTTGAAGCAGAACTGGGCCATCTTCTGAGCCAGCATCAGCTGCGCCTCCTTCTCAAGCTGTCGGATGTCCTCGATGGTGAGCCCATACCATTCATCCTGCCAGCACCACGCCTGCCGATGTGCCCGGACCATCACCTTCCGCAGGCCTGCAAAGCAACAGCATGCCAGTGACCAACACGGCTGACACAGTATAAGAGGTTATGCCTCCGGAAGAGAGCCTGCTAGCCAGCTCAGCATTAAATCTAGTGGCACTAATGATACCAGCCTGACCAACCTGCAATAAAGAGCCCTCTGCTATGAGTGGGGGTTGGAATCTGTATACAAATTAGCCATTTCACTGTCCTCTCACTTGACTTGGTTTATACCTACGGAGTCGATGCTACAGTGACACACAACAGGTCCAGGCCTGCACCTGCTAAAATCCATGCAAGCTTCACTAACCATTTTAAAAATGTGAAGTCTCATAATCCAAGCCCAGAGCTATATTTCATGACTGGCTCTTCTCTAAACCGCAACTAAAATCTCAGACAAACCTCTGCTTTGAATTTTTGGGAGGCTTGAAATCTGCATCCAAATGTTATCGGTTGGACACAACGGCGGCCCTCATCATGACAATAAAGCTTTGCAGATATACCGGTAGTCATTTAGGATTTTCGATGGAGGATGACTTGAAAACTCTGCATCCTCAAATCTTATTTATTGTTGATGGAAGCACAGAGCAATAAAACCACAGCTTTGGCATATGCACAGCATGTTCCAGCTTTAAAGACTTTAAAAAAAATATTAGCAAATTAATCCTCTCAGGCCCTCGGTGAGGTAGGTAATTAATATTATCCCTATGTAATGCATTGAGAAATTCAGTAGGGATGGGCTGAGGGACTCGTTCAAAACAACAGTGAGAATGCATGCCAGAGCCAGGATTAAAAGCTGAGAGCTACCAGAGCAGTGCTGTACCAAGGAGGTCCTTGGCCTTGGCATGCTGGCTGCAATAATGAAATACAGAAGTGATGGGGCTGTCCTAGGTTTGCTAAATTAATTAGAGAGGAAAAAAGGCAAGACATGGGATACAGATCTCAGCACCATGGAGAACACACAGAGGAAAGACCTCAGAAGCCATCCCTCCACTCCCTCTGCTGTTGGCCAAGGGCAGGGTTTGCTCCCCACAGGACTCCTAGTCTTCCCAAGAACAGCTGGAAATTCAGCAGCACCTATGAATGAGGATTTAACACCCAGCTGCACATATATTTTTCAATACCAGAAATCTAAAGCCAATGTTGTCTTTTGTTTTACCAGCCCTCCATTCCTCCATAGCCATCCTAACACCAAATGCAGGTTGGAAAGCTCAACTTTCAGGAAAGTTACAACACCCTGAAAAAACACATAGTTGTTGACCTTAAACACCACATCTGATTGCATTGACCCTCTCTCACCCCCATCTCAGAGCTCTGCCTGCCTGCATCGTCTCCAAAACTCAGGAGACTCGTTAGTGTGATAGCCTCTGCTTGCACATGTATACAGTAATACATCAGTTGCTCTGCTCAACTTCTCTGAAAGTGTCTCTCTCAAGCCTTAGGATAGTTCTGATCATAGACCTTTGCTTTAATGGATTGGCATCATTAGCCCAAGAAATCCCTTGGGGCAGCAAGGCACACACCTTTAATTCCTCTTCACCTCCCTTTGACTCACATCGCAGCCCTTAGGATCACAAGAATTACACTGAGATCCCTCCTTCCATCAGAGGGAGCAGACTTCCTGGCTTGTACCAGGACTATACATGTGACCAGGCTGAGTAGAGATCCAAATACTACTGGTAAAAGAAAAATGTGATTTGAAAAAGACATTGCACAGTGTAACTGCCATTCTGGATGAAGCTCTTTTCAGTTTATAAGTAAAAAGATGTTTTTCCCCTTCTCATTGTTTATCAGGCCCACAGATTCAACCTGGAATACGATAGTTAATCTGCATCTTTCTCTCTCTCCGAGATAGGACAAAACCTGGAAAGACTGAGACTTTTTAGGCAAAGCGAAATCAAACCGTGACCTGCAGAAAAACTTTTTATCCCCAGCAATGGAACTATCTTCATCTCTAAGCACATTTGAAATATCACCAATCGCACTCATTTTATGGCTAAAGAACTGGGAGAGAGGGGCAATGTCACCTTTCCAAAATCAAGGAGGTCTGTCACAGCTGGGAATGTAATCCTGACCTCAGGTCAGAGTCCAGTGCCTTATCCCCCAAGGCCAGCCTCCCTACTCAAGCACAAAAAGATTCCAAGCTTGGCCGTCAGATCCCAAGAGGTCTTTGTGGGATTGCTGGTACAAAAATGCTTTTTTGCTTGTAAATATGGAAAAATATGATCTGATGCCAATCAGAGTAAGTAACCAAAGAGCCTTCTGATGCCTGCTTGCCAGAGGAGCGCTGCAACAAAGTGGGATATTGGAAGAAACATGGCAGAGAAAACCACTGTCACTTGGGAGTAGAGGTCAGCGCTAAGCGTGCCAAAGCTGGGGAAGGGTTGTGTTCCTCCGCTTGGAAGAGTTTTAGACTGGAACGCAACAGAGTGGTCAAACAATGCAAGGGGAAAAGAAAAGCAGCTGACTGTCCCTGCTATCAAGTCATTTCCTAAAGAGCTCTTTTTCTGCTCTATTTTAAGAGAGACAAATGGAAAAGGAGAATAGGAAGCAATTTTCATCTTGGAAAAAAAAAAAAAAAAAAAATCACAGAGTAAGCTGTCACCTTCTCCTCGCTTACTTCATATTCATTTGCACCTCCATTTGCAGAATGGGAGCATAACTCTACAGCCTCTTACGGAGGCAAATTACCCACTACGCTCAGTGGGAACTTGTCCCATCACAAAAACATCCACAGGAAACAACTCCTGTCAGATAAGCACCAAATGCCATTTTTGCAAACCAAATAATCTCAGGCAGTGCTTAATGTGGTTTAGCACCTGTTCCAGGAGTGCTCCCTTTTGGCTAAAATGAAAATCACTGTAGTATTTTTAGTCCAGAATGAACTAGCCTCTCTCCACATTGATTTAATTAAAATATTTTCCACTCTCAAGAAAGGTCAGCTCTTGCCATAATCAGGAGGCTGCAAATACTAATCACTTGCCTTTTGACTCATTCCAGCCATCCTTGTTATAATCAAATTAAAGAAAAACTTGGAACCGTCTATCAACACAAAGATGTTGGGTGGCTCTCTCCATGGCTAAAGAGTTTCCCCTCCTTAGCTTAGGGTTTGTTTTGCTAGCTGAAATAAAACAGCAAATACAATGCAAGTCCAGTGCAACAACACAGCGTAGACTAAGAACATCTGAGCAGCTGTTTTTTTACGCACACAGTGACGTGTCCCAGAAGCATCTTATAACTCACTCTTGCAATTTCCTGGCAGCAGATAAAGGGCTTCTGATTTTCCTTGTGTGACGCTTCATTTGTTTGATCGTCACGACAGATATCGTAACCTTGTCATAAGAGTTTGAGCTGCGTGAATGTTTCTGATAAAATGTAACCCTGAAGTTTTGCATTTATTTCCCCTCTAGCCTTCCCTGTTTAGACCAGCCAGTGCAAAGTGTGTGGTAAAGTCCACAACACGTCTCTAAGACTCTTTAAGACACTTAGAGAAGCTGCTTGCTAACACTTAGAGCTTTATGTGCCAGATCAATATATTGGAATCCTTCTGATTTCAGCGAGCATTGCATGACACTGAAGATGATGTTTCTGTGTGCAGAAGAACCCTCTAACACCAATTATATGCAATTATACTGAAATATATTCAACCTAAAATATACTGGCTTGCCCAAAAAGCTTTCCAGCCATCAGCACTGGAACAGGCATTGCCTAGAGTACAGAATGTGCATTTAAGAACAAAAGTTGGTCTAATAAAAGATATCAGATTTACCCAAAGAACCTTGTCTGCTTTTAAGAACAAAAGAAATTAACCTGCACGCACAGGTTATGAAGCTAGTGGAAGAAGTGAAAAACCTAACCTTGTGTAACACTGCGAACATCAGTGTAGTCCAGCTCTACAGGTACATGCTAACGCACCTACAGCGAGCACAGCAGACGAGACCAGTAGCCTGCACCAAATGCCTCAGACAATCACAGTACGGAGCAACTCTCCAATTAGTCATCAAACAAATGGCGACTGCTATGCTCAGACTGAGAACATTTCTACACCCTCCTCCAGAGCCATTCCCTTCCTAACCTTCTTGTTCCATAACCCATCCACGCATTATACTTCTCCTGTATCTTAACTACATTCATGTTTTCTTCCCTGCCCAACCTTTCTGCCAAAGTTATACTCTGCTTACTTTAAGGACCCTGCTACAGGTTCAAATGAAAGTTGGGTAGAAACCAGCTACAGAGTTGCTAAACTTTTTCAAGCACTAACTTTATAGTTGGTTGGCTCCTTTTATAGCTGGACAGTCATTTTTATTGTGAGATAATTACTTTGCACGTGTGGCTGTTCTAACTTGACTGCATGATGAACCAGTTAATTGTGTCACAATTACTGTGCACATAGAATAAAAAAAAGAGGGTTGGGAGGGACCTCAGGAAGTTGCATCTAGTCCAACCCCCTGCTTAGAGCAGGACCAGCCCCAACTAGATCATCCCAGCCAGAGCTTTGTCAAGCTGGGCCTTAAAAACCTCCAAAGATGGAGACTCCACCACCTCTCTGGGTAACCCGATCCTGTGCTTTTTCCAGGTGAGAAAGTTTTTCCTGATATCCAACCTAAATAGGGTGGCCATCACAGAGAACAGTCCAGTTGTCCTCTATTGATATGAAACCCGACGCCTTTATGTCCTCTGTATTTTCTCTTCAAGAGAAAAATAGAGGACATAAAGGCGTCGGGTTTCATATCAATAGAGGACAGAGGAGCAGAAAATCAGGATGTTCTCTATGATGGCCACCCAAAACCTAAACCTCCCTTGCTGCAACTTAAGACCATTGCTCCTTGTTCTGCCGCCTGCCACCACTGAGAACAGTCCAGCTCCATCCTCTTCGGATCCATTCTTCAGGGAGTTGAAGGCTGCAATTCCATCCCCGCTCAGTCTTCTCTTCTGCGGCTCAATAAACCCAGTTCCCTCATCCTCTCCTCATCAGTCATGTGCCTTACCACTTATACGCCATTAGACATGTGGCCAGTCTAAATTTATTGTGCGATTAACTAGTTAATTGTGTAATATATGTAACGTGTAGCACGGGCCTAGGGGAACATAGTTTAAGCAAGGCTGTCCAATGCAGGCTCTTGCCCAGCTGGTATCACTCTGGCAGCTGGAGTTTCCAGGCTCTCCCCACCCTCCTCTATCTGCCACTTCCTACCTTTGCCCCAAGGCACAAGGCCATGCGGTGAGCTGAGGGTGAGTCTGGGGCTGCACTGTAGGGAATCACACCTATGGGGTGCAGCAGTGGGGAGAGGGGGAGTTCGTGCTCACACAGGCATGTGTTACAGCAATGTGGAGGGTCATAGCTGCACAGCGCACCTGGCTTGGCCTGCACAGCACATGGCCTCCACTGGTGCGGCCCCTGGGGCATGTTAGAAGTTGGACTGCCTTGGTTTAACATAGCACATATTGCAAAGCATTATAACTTCAGCCTCCTGGATTCTACTCCTGCTTTGGCCATTGGTTTGTTCTCTCTGCACAACTTGTAGATCCAGCTCCTGAGAGGCATTCACGTGTTGCTCTAAATCAGCACTGCAAGACTCGACTCCTGAGTGGAATAGTAGACTCAAATCAAAGACATGACTCGGCACAAGCTGGATGCCTAGACTCCCCATACAAAAACTGGAGAGTTACACCTTTAAGCAAGGGATCTGTAGGGCAAGTGCAAAGCTAGCCAGGACCACCATATAAGAGTTATAGATCCAGTGGACCTAATTTGAGAGGGCCACAGGTACATAAGCCACAAATGTGGCGCACCTGACACCAGGGATTCCATTAACTACCCACATGTTTAACATCCACTACTCATTTAATTGTCTCTCTCCACTTCAAAGATTTCTCCAATTTTATACATCTTAAGAGTCACTTCAGTTCATCAGAGATGCATTATTTCCATCAACACAACAGAACAATAAGGATCTGGATTGGCAGACAATCAGCTGACATGGCTCACTGCAAGGATTAGATCAACTGAACAAAGACTTGTAGGAAATGCACAAGTGCACTTCTAAGAGATCACAATTTAACTTATGCACAACTCCTTCATGAACTGAAAGGAAGACTGAGAGACTGCCCAAGAGCTTCCACTTATGCTAGACTGACTCTAGCAGAACAATCGATGCCTATTACAGACAATGGGGGACCTTCCTTTGATGGTCCCGACTAGAAAGCATAGTGTGACTGCTCTGCTTTGCGATGCTAACAACTAAGCAGTTGTTCAGCATGATGTTGGCAGAAAAAAATTCAAGGAAGCTTTTGCAAATAGCAAGGAAATATTGCCGAGATCAGATAGGAAAATTAAATGTGAACAAAAAGCTGGGTAACATTACTTAAAGGAATCTAATGTTCTTCAAGATCTGCAACTGAATTAAGATGATACATTTTGTCTCTCCATTTCTACTTTAAAAACTACTTTTAAATGCAATTATGAAGATCTTTCCCTTTCATTTTTCTTGGAACGTACTAAACTCATTTCTGAGACATTGGTTTAGTAGCATGGACATACCCACTGCTCTCGACTGCCCTGCCTTCCAAGAGACAAGTGTTTAAAGCATTTTCTATTGAGGTTTCATGTAGTCAAGTGCCAGGGTTTAACAAGGTTTTGTTTCAAGCAACCAGGAACAAATAATACTTAAAAAAAAACCATTTGCCTTGATAGTGAGTTACGTAACTGTAATAGTCATTTTCCAAGTCAGGATTAGGTGTGTAGCCATGTGGCTATCAGCAGATTCCTATAGCTCTTTCCAACATGGGCTTCCTGTAATACCTATGGTGGATTCTCCAACTGCATTCACTTGTGCTAATGTGTGATTGCTAATTTTCCCCCGAGAGTCTTCGCTCTTGCCCCAAGCTGGGAAAACACACCACACTAAATTCTTATTTAAGAGAAAGTCTGGCAAACCAATTTTATCTGTTGCTTTCACTTCACAATGGCACACATGGATTTTGGCAAAGGCTGGTAGTGCCAAAACGCTGTGAGAAAACCTGTTCCCCCAGCATTCCCATAGTGGTTCTGCACACTCAAAAAAAAAAAAAAAAAAACAAAAAACTTGCTAGTTTACATAAGCACACAACTCAGGGGGTGTTCCCCTAACTGAACCAAGCTTCCACATCTTCTGAAGGTCAGCTCTTCAATACGTTAAAATTTAGCGATTTTAACTAGCGAACTCCACATTAACCAGTGAAGACCCTAAATTCTAAGTTTGGTTGCTGGAAGAAAAATGTATGGCACGTATTTTTCAAGCAGGTTACGCTCATCTCCCCTGTTCCCTTTGGGGCATACCCTGTTGTAGGGTTAGCAGGCAAACCCAAGGGAAAAACAGCTCCCATGCAAATGTCATTTTAAATAAGATCCAACTGGAATGGCTCAGTAGTGGGAACAGCAGGGTTTCTGCATTAGTTTTACAATTGTCTGATGAAAAGAACTCAGAAAGGAGTGCCAGACTAACACAGAAACACGTCGTTCCAGTGCTAAGACTGTTTTAATGTGGCACCTGAAGTGACTAGAAACATCAGGAAAACATCATTTAGGCAAAAAAAAAGGTGGGGCTGTGCCAGCCAGTTAATTAGCAGTGCAATCTATGGCCACTCGCTCCATTTAATATGCATCAATACCATTAGTCTTTAATGATGATGGATCTAAAGGGCGCAACATTTCTATGCTGCTGAACATGCCTGTTAGAGGAGAGCACCTTCTTCCCTGCCTAGGTAACATGGCTCTAAGGTCTGGACTTTTGGGAAGGGCACTAGGCAGACCGCAGTGTTTTAAGTAAACATGACATTTATTTTCAGATAGGTCACATGTCCTGCCTATTGTGGCAAGGCTCAGAAACTGTAAATGGATTTTCTGCAAAGACAAAGCACAAATTATTACCCACCCTTCTACTATCGCCTGACTTGGAGACATAACTAAGTGGATGCTGCCTAACACAAACAGCAGCCTGCCTTCCCTAGAAGCACTGATCTAAGAATGTGTTCATTAATCAAAGTGGCGCCTTTACTAGAGCTGAGAATAGTCATCGATCCACATTCAGGTGTGGGCACAGGAAGGTAGAGAGCTTTAAGTACTGCAGCGTGACGGGCTGCAAAGTTGTGACTATGCAGAGACACCAGCCAAGTCTCCTGCCTCTTGGAAGTAAAAGCGGGGAGGGAAGGGGTAGAGGAGTAGTAGATCCGATTTCCTGCAACTACATTGGGGAAGAGAGGAAAGGAAGTGGCAAATCCTTCCCTTTACTGAACCTTTTCAAAGGGACTCAGAGAAGACCAACTCCTTGATATTGGAGCAGCAGCTCAGGATCTGGCCCAATAGAAGAAAATGCACCAGACCTTGAAAAGCACTTGCTGAATGTGTGACAGATGCGTTCCTTCTTCTGAAGAGGAGGAGGAGGAGGATTTAAGGCTTGGCCTACACTGGGTTGGAAACAATTCCCAGAACGCAGCTGTGGCCAAACATGGCTAAGGGCTGTGCACAGTATGATTGCAAACAACGGGACAATGCTGACTACAGTGAGCAATCCCACAGTTGTTCTGCTTGGCACTGGCAGGACCAGATTTCTGATATGCCAAAAAGGAGAGACTCGCATTATGTCAACAATATTGTGTGCTCAGCACTGAGTTGAGTTTCCAAGTGTCCGCTTAAGCCCATCTGCATAGAAAGAAGACTGGATACACACTGCTTACTTCCTGTGATAGATGCCGCTCTCCAACTGAGAAATGCTAGGAAATCACTTGAAAATTTTGACAGGAATAGGATGGAAAATAAGACTGGAAATCCTTACCAACGTCATGGATGAACCTCTCGATTTTGGACTGCATTCCCCAGTATCGGAACTCTACTTTACAGAGTTTATATGCACACATGATCGGATATTTCCCAGGGTTGTTCGTGTACTCCTCAATCCAGTCTTCTGAGAGTGGCCCTCTTCTTGTCTTCAGAGATTTATAAAGCTTGGGATCCTCTTCCGCCTTGTATTCATGTAGAGGGATAGAGTCTTTAACAATATCAATAGGATCTAAAGGCAAGGAACACAAGCCATTAAAAAAAAGTTTCTTTTTTCCCCTGAAGGAATATAAGCCCCCATGTTTAAAGGTGGTTTGGGTTTTTTTTTCCTTTGATGATTACCAGAAACATTAAAACAATTTAGCGATTTTTTTTAAATTTACCCTTAAACAACAGATATTTAATTGTATTTATATTTGTCTACGTAAGGATGATGACTTTCGCAAAGGAACTTGCACATGTAGTTTTAAGTAAATGGAGACTTCACCCCTAGCTGATATTTTGGCCCAGAGAGGCTATGCTTTAGGTCCATCTATTATATCTTTTCAGCTGCAAACAGCTCTCATATATTCTGTCCTTCATATCCGCTAATGCCACCCAAAATGCTGTAAAGCGCTGCCTAACTTCAGAGGCTTTAATACAACTGTCCTTTTCTAACAATATCATAGAACAGACAGTAGCTATTGAATACCATACCCTGGGTGTGAGCTTACTAAACTCATTTTTTTTGGTGTTATACTGCAGAGACTATGCAATCTACATTTTCTGCCTTTTAAGTCGAAAAATGATCTAATATACACTTTAGCAATGAAGGGGGAGGGGAAAACCAGCCTTGCAGAACTAATGAACATATCCTAAAAGGCCTGCAAATGAACCTGAAAACAATGGTAGAGACATCTAAACCTCAGGTTTGAAAATGTGGCATCTCCATTATTTCCTGAGACATGGTAGGCCATTTGATAAGTTCTGTATGAGGAAACATGACTCAAGTCTATTTAAGAATGAGTCAATCTACTTCACAAAAGGCTTGGAAGGCAGGTTTGGCATTTGGTGACAAGAACACGCTAATCCTGGTTGAAAATATAGAAATTCAAGCCTACAGAAATTAAAGTAAAATTGCATCTTGCCATCTCTCTTGGTCCATCGATACACAGTGTTTCAGGAGTGGTTAAGAAGGAAAAGGTGAAGCAGCCACTAGGTGGCCGCCTTCATAGCTCATGGACACTGATCATCACTAATTACACAGCTCCTAAAGGAAGCCAAGCACGACTCAAATCAATACCTGAGAATCTCGGCAGTTTCATACGCAAGCGATGCTTTAATATGGTGCAACTATAATAGCTGACACTCGCTCCCACGCAACGGGTCTACTGCAAATGCTAAGGGGACTGGCCATTAGGAAAAGCGAAAGGAGCCAGGATAACACTTGCCAATTTCTTTTTACAAAGTTTATAAGGCTCATTACCCTGATCTGCTAAGGCGGCTGCAAACAGGAATTCAGCACAGAAATGACACAGAGGGGAAAGTGGAAAAGATCCGGGAAGTCTAGGCAGAAACAAGCTTCTTGCTGACAAAGCTTGTATGCTGTTAAAAAAGAAATTAAAAAATGACAGCTTCAGGAGCTTTCATGTTGTGGTATCTCAAAGATCATTGGAAGCCTTAATCCTCACAGCATCCATACGAGTTAGGGAAGTGTTGTCCCACTTTACAGACAGGATAACTCATCTGCCTAAAAACCACAAGTGATCTACTGAAGGCCACAATAGGCCCAGATCTCCCAGTTACTAGTTCTTTGTTGTAACAGCTGGACAATGCTTCGTCTGCTGAGAAAAATGAGCATTTATCTTCCATCTAGCAATCGAAAGGCAAGATAAAAGAATACAAAAGAGGGGTGGAAAAGTGATATTCACCAAGAGTTGTCTGTCTTTTTTCTGCAGGAGAAAGGTTGAACACATTGAAAAGCTCTCCTGGATCAGCTTTGTAGTACGTTTCAATATCAATAGAGAACTTCTCCACAAAAGGGCACGTGTACCTGAAAAAGAGAAGAGTTAAGTGGCTTTTTTAGACTAAAACCTTCTAGACTTAATGAGCAGTGAAGTGCTGTCATAACAGACATGTAAAAACTGGCTGCGAATCCAGGCTTGCTCTCTTTCTCGTGCTTTACTTTAAATATGCTTAAGATGCAATCTGTATATACAAAAAAAGGAGCCAGTGATTCTGAGCTGTGTACTTTTTTTTTTAAGGCAAGAGCATGGCTTGGGGGCACAGTTTATATGGAAATGCTCTGCAAGCAGAGCCGACCGGAGCAATGTGCAGGTCCCGGGGCAAATCAGCTTGTGCGGGGCCCCACCCCTGCCCTGATCCCATGCACCCTGGATGCGGAGGAGCTGCTGCCACCATCACCAGCGGCAGGGAGGGGGAGTAGTAAGCGGCCAGATGTGAAGCCGGCGACAGCAGTGCCAAGTCACCGCAGCCACTCTGCGCGGCTCCGCGGGGCCCCCCAAAGCACAGGGCCTGGGGCAGTCGCCCCAATTCGCCCCACCGCCCCTCCCCCAGGGACAGCCCTGTCTGCAAGACTCAGATCCTAAGATCACAGAGAGGATCTCTCATATTAGGCTAATAGTGACTATGCCCAGCACTAAGGTTATAGTGAGATAAGGCCAGATCCCCCTGTTCAACCAACTGAGAAATGGCACCCACACGGTCAAAGCAACATGCCCTTGAGCTCCTGATGGATGAGTCATAGCAGGAAAGAACATTTGAGAAATAAATCATCCTGCTTTCCATCATAAGCAAAGGCACCATGTAACACAATTTCAGGTTCCCTGGGTTGTATCGCTAAGTTGCATTTTACATGGAAGCATCAGAGAGGAAACAGAGTATGCATCTTATGCTTCTGCACCATGGGTCTCTTGATTCCCTTGTCTGGGCATTACACATGGATGCTGCAGGCAAAGATGTTCTCCACTCCATCAGATTGTGTAGGCCATTCTACCCCCAAAATGTCATCCATCTGGGGGGAGCCCTTAACTTTAGATTTCTGCACTAAGTATGACCAGGATGAACCCAGCTATCAGGACTGATCTGAGACATGACAGCAACACCGCACTTACCAACCTGTGACCCAGGAAGTCCTCCCAAATGAAATAACCAATATGTGGTAAAATACAGGATTCCCTACATGAGGGTGCCATGATGCCTCTCCAAGTCAGTAACCAGAAAAAAATCCCCAGAGGGCCCCACAAGCTTTTTTTCTCTATTAGAAGTAGGAGTTTGTTTGTTGGGTTTTTTTAAATCATCTTCTGTTGAGATAACAGCAAAGCCGTCAGCATGGGTGCATCTAAGAACATCCCAAGTATTTTACTTTCAATCTCTCTTCTTTTTCCCAGCTAGACCGCTGCAAATAACACAATCCAGATTTTCCATACTGAAGCATACCAGGGCTTATATTTAGAAATAAGAGGCCAAGTTCTGATGCCTTTCCACAGTCTGCTCAGATAAAGATGGAGTGAGGATCTCTGGACTTAGCCTGACCTCTCTCTAAAAAATGCTCCCAGAGAAGAACAGGGTGGCATTGTAACTCAGTCACAGCAAAATGAAGTGGCACAAAGTCCTTTAGCTAACAGTAAAAGTCTGGGGATATCCCCAGAAATTATACCTTGTCCTTGTGTAAGGATATGCATTCCAGGACTCCTCTTCAACTCTTAATGCTGCCTTTGGCAGGATAGACCTGAACCAACTGGGTATGTGCATACCAATATGATATACTTTATGTGTATACTGCCCATTGCCACCTGGACCATCCATATACGGTCTGTTCTCCAGGATCTCCACTCCACTGCCTTCTCCACTTGTCTCCTCTCTGCTTTTTTTCTGAAAGGCAAACACAGCCACTGTTTTTCATGTGTCACATTTTACGTACTGTGTTCTCACACAGTATTTAAACAGGGGAATCAGCAGTTTTCATATGTAATTGCCGTTCAACAGAAGTCGTTAACCACAGATTACAAATGACTATTCATCCTTTGTTCCTGCGTTGGCCAGAAGGGTGGTCTATTGGAAACCCACACAGGCCAGAAAGCCTAGATCCAGACACTTCCCTGAAACTGCAAAGAAAGGTTGGGCGGGGGGGTGGGTAAACAGAATTAAAACGTTACTGAGAAAATGCTAAAAAATATAGTTAGTACATTGCTTTGTAGAGTTGGAAGACAATACAGGACCCCACACAAGGTGGCTACATAGGTACATAGCTGGTGTACATTAATGAAATCCAAGACATGCTGTTAGTCATGCAGCCTATAATAGCCAAGAGTAAAGTGGTTAAGAGGTTTCAACGTGACATTATGGGAAGAAGAGAAACAAGACCTGCGTATAGTAAATGCATCAGCACGGAGCTGTATGGTTGTAAGACATTCTTAGACACTGGATTTACCATGCAGTGTACAATTGCTGGGGTGGGGGGCATTCAATAGCATTAGCAGTCTTTGCATGTCCATGGGTGACAGGGGGAGCTCAGCCCATCCTCTCACTCTCACTTCTTGTGGGTGGTCTTGGCTGGCTGTCTTCATGCTGGTAGTAGCCCATAATGTGCTTGATGTACATGTCCCTTGACCACTGGATGGTATCAAATACCACGAGATGCCTCATTGGTTTTGAGTAGCAGTGGGGTACTCTGCAGACTCAGAGGATGCTCTCAATGCTTGGGAGAGCATCCTGTCTATTTGTGTTACCCAAATGCCTTGGGCCCTAAGGCCCACCCGACTAACTAGTGCCGCCTACGGTGTGGGGCCAGTAAATGAATAGCACAATAAAATGCTTAGGAGAACTAAGGCAAAAACAGGATAGGAGTGTCGTGTGAGTCAAAGGGTCAAAACGTGGAAATAAGTGCGCCTGAGGGGGACACCGAGCAGAGCCCCCCGGCCCGCATCCACTGGTCCTCAAAGGCATCCAAGGAGCCGGTGGACACTGCTCACTAGTGCTCTGCCTGGAAACGTGCACGGACAAGTGACAGAAAAGCAGCCCTGCAGTTCCTGGGCACCTTTCCAGCCAGAGCATCCTTCCTGGTCACGTACAGGGCCTGGTTGGCCAAGGCCAGGAGGAGGCTGACCAGGAGGTCCCGGGACTTGGTGGGGCTGTGAACAGGATGCTCAAAAATAAAAAGGTGGGGATGGGGGTGAAGTTCAACCAGAACCTCAGGAGGAGGTTCTCCCTTCTTCTGCAGAAGGGGCAGGAGACCAGGAAGTTTGCCACACGCACGTCCGTGGCGACGGCTCCACGGAGGAGCCGCCAGAGGAGGTCCCCAGTGGCTCGTGGGATGAGGACAGGGATGAGGTACAGATTCAGCCACTGGGGTGCCCCAGCTACGCTCTCGCCAAGCAGGTCCTGCCACTTGGTGTCTGGGCGGGACGCGAGGGTGGTGGGAGAGCATCCTGACAGCCAGCTCAGAATAGGCCAAACCATAGTTTTGCTGTTCAGTAGGCTGAAGTTTGGATCCAGATCTCACCTGATATTGCACCACAAATGCTTCTGTACTACCTGAAGTACTGATAGTGGGGTTTTAACAACGTCGATGCATTTTTGCAGTCAGACAGAGTGAACGATCAACAAGTATTTAGTGCTATATATCATAGGACTACACGCTACATTTTCTGACCCATACGTTGTGGAGTTTTGGGGGGTTGTACTGTTGGTCTGCAGATGCTTCCTCAGCTGACAAAGGGTTTGTGCCCAAAAACTTGCAAAGAAGATATTTTCCAATTATTTGAGTTGGTCTAATAAAAGATAGCAAATTTACCCAAACAACCTTGTCTGCCTATGTCCTTAGACCAACATGGCTACAACCTACGCCCCTGAAACGTTTGAGAGCATGGCACTTTGGCAATTGAAAACAACTTGGGTTTTCATGTACGAACCAACTGTAAAAAGATATTGTAATAATGACCTTTTCTTTCTGGCAGGAGAACAAAAGGAAAGGAAACATGCTTTAACCAAACGCAATTAATAAGTTGAAAAAAAAGATCAGAATCTCTTTGTTCAAGGATAAGATAAGCAACATAGCTATTTAAAACAAAACAAAAAGGCTATTTGGTTTCAAAAGCAATTCTTGAAACATGTTAATGCTCCCTGACATGAGCAAAAAAAAAAAATCTAAATACAAAAGAGGGTTTTTTTTGTGAATGGCAATAGTGCAGATTAGAGAAGTAAATTTTGAAGAAGTGCCTGCAGTGCCTTAAACATACTTCTTCTTAGAACAACGTACTGTCTTTCAGTCCTTTTGTAAGCAGCAACCAAACTCTGTACAAATATTTATGGGAAAACACTAAATAATCTTGATGACCCAAAAAGTTGGCGAATCCAAGGGTCTAAGAAAAAAGGCAGGCACCCAGCAGGACTAGCAAATGTGTCAGACAGAATAACAGTAAAGCATCTACTCTAAACAACTGATACAAATTATGGAGCTCTAGAATTTCACTGCAAGGCAGAAGTACACGGCAACCAGAAGAAGGGGAAATAGGGATATAATTTAGTACCAAATTGTTGGCTGGATGAAGATCTACCACTCTGGAGGGCAAAGTGCCCTCAACATTCATCCAAATCAACAGTGCAGTCTGGAGAGTATCTTCAGCACTGGGTAGGATCAACCCTCCTGTGGCTGCTGTAGACAGAGAACAGACAGATTTACGGATGGACAGTTGCATTCTGTTTGGATACCAAAATGCTGGCTGTTTAGCCTGGCTTTATATTTGAAGCTGATACTACAATGGATTAAAAAAAAAAAATCCCTCTGCTTTGTTCTTGATAATGGCACTGTAATTCCATACAGGTTATTTCAAAGCTTCAATCAAGTTGAGTCTGAGCACAGTAACTCTGTTTTTGCCTTTCTGTTAATGGCTTCTCATTTCCCTTGTAATGTTTAAGAGGCTTATCTAGTGGGCCAGCCACTTTCACTGCCCTGGTTATGAGCTCAAAGGCCCAGCACCTGCACTTTAGCTGACTAAACTCCCACGAACGGATCGGCATGTGAGGCATTAATGGATTGTCTATGGAGACATCCTTCACAGCAGCATGGGCCCTTCCAGAAAAAAGCCAACTCCACCTCACCTCCGAGCCAGTCACACAGGATGGAACTGGGCCCAGTCATTGGGATGGCCGAACAGCCCCGTTTATTTTTTTCTTGCTGCATTTACAATGTCATCTACATGAAGTTCGGGAAAGGAGGGGAAAACTGAGTGTAACTCTCTGGAGCTCCACCCATTGGAGAAGCTAAAATGCAATGTACAGGTTTTCATAGTTTCAAACTTGTTAGGGGCTGGAAGAGACCTTACAGATCATTGGGACAATGATCATTGGGATCATTGGGACTCCCGGCACTTGTGCAGGGAAGACTGCTGGGAGCAGGTGACCCCAGCAAGGTGGGCGTCGAGACGCTACTGTGATCTCACAAGTGCCATTGTTCAGACATACTCTGGGGCCAGGCGGATTCAAAACACCGAACGACAGGCGTACACCCAAAGCTCCAGCTTCAAGAACAAAAAACACCAGCACGCAAGAAGATGATTCCTCACGGCTGCAGGGAAGAAGCTGGCTCCTCACAACCATAAACCTACCCTTTTGGCTGACACAGGCTCCGTCCTATTCCAGGGGTAGGCAACGTTTTTTGGCCGGAGTGCCAAAAAAAACACAATGTCCATCTTGGAAGGTGCCGGAGCGCCAACATGCCGGAGCCCAGAGCAGCTGTTTGCAGCCTCCCAGCTGCAGCTGGCCCATGGAGCCCGGTCTGCTGCCAGCACAGCTTGCAGCCTCCCAGCACCTGCTGGGAGCAGCCTGGGCTCCTTTCATGGCTGGCAGCAGCTGCCTAGAGCTTGGGCTGGCAGTGGCGTGCCAAGCAAAATGGCCTTGCATGCCACGCTCGGCATGTGTGCCGGGGGTTGCTGACCCCTGTACTACACTCTCTCTAAGTGGGATTCAGGTGCTAAGCAAACCACCCTCTAGCCTTGTGACTCCATGGCTCAGATGAGGGACAAGGAAGGGAGAAGGTGGAAATGCAACTCCTCTCCCAAAGGTCACCCAGTCCCTTGCTTTTCGCACCAAATTAGATGCCACTAACAGCAGATTGTGCAGATCTACAAGCCTCCCTCTCCTTTCTGGCACCTGCTGAAAGCAATTAAATAGTTAATGCTGACATTTCAAATATCGGTGCTAGACGTATGAGCAGGAACCCCCGCTTCCGTGAGCAAGCAGCAAAGCCACTGCTTTGGACTAAATATGCAGGTAGTGGGACATCAAGGCATTCACTCTGTTCACCTTTCTTGCCTGGTCGTATAAGGGCTAGAGCAGTGGTTTTCAACCTGAGGCCTGCAGACCCCTGGGGGTCCACAGACTATGTCTAAGGGGTCGGCCAAAGATGACTAGAATCAATCAAAAGTATGTGAATGCCCACATTTACAATTCAAAGGGGTCCACACTGCCATTCAAAATTTCCAAAAGGGACCGCACCTCCTTTCAAACGTTTTTAAGGATCCACAAATGAAACAAGGTTGAAAACCAATGGGCTGGAGACGTCTATTTATGTAGTGAAGTGAAAGCTAAGGGGAGATTCTAGCAAGCCCTAAATAAATCCCAAGTCACTGACCCAGCTCAGTAAGAAGCCTGAACTGCTGCCTGCTTCAGCAGCTCCCTCTGCCACAGGTCTCTCCACTCCCAACATACAAAATGAACACCCTGGCAGAAGTAATGGCCAGGCCTCTAGCTGGAAGCGTTTCTGCTAAAGAAATATTTATTTAGCACCTTCCAAGCCTCTGTAAATGTTCCAATTCAGTCCCAAATGGGGCTGATGATTTCTCTGGCAGGAAGAAGTCTCCTGCTCTTCAGAC